AAGTGCCACAGCAGCTTCTTTTTTAGATATCATATTTGCTTTAAAAAAAAAGCAAATAAGAATACAGAACCGTTTTTTTGAAAGGGAATAGTGTGAAGGCAAAGTAACTTTTACCTTAAAGTTATTCTCATATGTTTTTCAAGACACTGATATGTCTTTTTTAAATTTTGAATATTTAGACTTAGGACAAAACACAGTTAAATACTTTCTAAAGTTAAATTCAGTTAATTGCCACATAAGATTCCCCATTGTTTAATAGCAGCTTTTGCTGTTTCATGATTTAAATCTCATAAATTAAGTAGAAAGAACACAAATGACAGGGTTTTCTATGGTAAGCCATCAGAAAACAAAGCATGGACCATTAGCAAGGTGTTCTTGGGAACTTGCAGAGGATTGAACAAAAAATATTTTTCCCTGGCTTAAAGTTTCTATTTTATTGGAGGGAAAGATACCACTACAGTCAAAAGATAGCAGGAGGGAGGACAATACAAAATATGCATATACAATACCTACTTTTTATTATAGGTGCATGTATATGTGTATGTATGTGTAAGTATACATATTGTTAACCTCAAAAATAAACTGTCAGATGTTGCCATCAAAAATGGATTTATTCAGGAACAGCAGAGAATTTCTATTTGGGATAAGCAAGCTATGGCAAAACTACAGGCACGTCTAGAGAACAAAGGAGAGGAATGCTCTTTTATAGAGGAATGGCAAGTTTGAGGCGGGCATTCTAAGTAAAAAGTCCAGTGGGGTAAACTGGGAGTCCCGCATGTTGTGGCTTCTCAGTGGTTAAGTAGTGACAGCCTCTCCCGTTGGCTGGGCCATCGCTGGGGTGAGCAGTAGCTCTTCCTCCCGCTGGGAAGTAAAGTAGCTAAAGCAGATGGACTTGCAAGGTGTGGGGCTCTTCTTTTCGGTGGGGTCTGTGATTTTCATGGCGCGATGGGCACAAGAGCTCCCCTGCAGGCCTCCAGGCATCATGTCAACGACATTTCCCATTTAATTTTTTATGAAAGTAATTCATACTCATTGTGAAAACTTCAAATATCACATCACAGAAATAAATATTATGTTCAAACCGTTTGAAATTGTCAGTACTTCACTATTTTTGACCTATAAACAGCGATTTTATACCGTTCAACCTAATAATGCAGTAAGAAGAACCTGCTATCTGCACATCCTGGGAGCCGCTGGCATTCGGTATGCAGCCCTCCCGGCTGGGGAGTGTGTCTGTGTCTGTCTACGGGTAGTGGAGTTGTTGCCAGGATGATGTAATACAGATACTTTTGCGACCTGCTTTCTAAAAGCTTTGGAGAGCAAAGCAAATCCTAGCCCTGGTTGTGCTGCTTCCCCTTTCTGGAGCCTCAGTTTCCTCATATGTAAAAATGGAACTAATGATGCTGTGTCAATTATTTATTACCTCTCAGCTCCAAATTCATCATGTTTGCCTGCTCTATGAAAATGGACCTGGGCCCTTTAAATATTTTCTTTGCCAGATGGCACAATGTTAAATTTTGCCAGTAGAGGGCACTGACGGACATTTCCTGAGGAAGAGGTTTTGCCTCCTGGTGTCTCTGTGCTCCTCTCAGCTGGCCTGCACAGCAGTAGCCAGGTCTCCCTCCAGCTCAGCTTCTGCCACAGGGTCAGCTTTGCCGCTGACCAGGCTCGGGCAGTGCAGGTGACCAGCAGCACCCAGCCGCAGCTGCTTCCCCCAGCATCCCACCCCCACCCTAGGAGTATAGGGATACTTCTTCCCTAGCAGCCTAAAGGATGATGGCTTTCCGGCAAGTTCCACAGGGCCTGCACAATACTCCATCAACTTCTCCACTATTCAGTGAGCCACAGCCACCCCCTCTCCCGCCAAGCCTGGATCTCAGACCTGGGGCTGGATGGGGGGCTTTTCCTGTGTGTGGGTGCTTCTTATATCTGCTAGTCCTGTAGTGTTCTCTTTATTTCTTGCCAGCCAATTCCTTATTGCTCCAATCCCTCGTATAGTTAATAATTCTTTATATTAGACTTCCTCTGTTCAAATTGCTTTATGGTTTCTCTCAGACTGAAATAGATCCTGCCTACTGTTGAAGCTCAGGAGAGAGAATGCAGCAGAGGCTTAGCCCAGGCCTGACATGCAGGAAGGACTCAGAAAACAGCTGATACTGTGATCATCATCTTCACAGCTCCACAATAGCTATAGAGCAGCCTCTTTCCTATTAACTGCTGCTGTGGTCTCACTATATGGATGGAGTTTTGAATTACTCCACTCCTGATGTATTATTCCACTTTTCCATTATTACAAAACAGTCCTATGATCCACATAAAAGCTGTCATTTATTGAGCACTCACTGTGTGCTATACACTAATTACATATATTAACTTATGAATCTTCACAAGAAGCCTGTTGTATTAGCTTCTATGGATATTACAACAAATTATTACAAATCTATTCTCTTACGGTTCTAGATGACAGAAGTCTAAAATGAAGTTGTCGGTAGGGCTGTGTCCTTTCTGAGGGCTGCAGGGGAGGAATCTGTTTCCTTGTCTTTCATTTCTAGAGGCTGCCTGTATTCCTTGGTTCACGGCCCCATTCTCACATCACTCCACCCTCTTGTTCCCACCATCACATCTCCTACTACTTACAGTGATCATCCTGCCTCCCTCTTATAAGGACCCTTGTGACTACAGTGAACTTACTTGGATAAACTAGGATCATCTCTCCATCTCAAAATCCTTAACTTAATCACAACAGCAAAGTCCCTTTTATCATATAAAGTAATATATTCACAGGTTCCAAGGATTCAGTAGTGGACATCTTTGAGCAGACACGATTCAGCCTACCACACCTATGGAATAAAGCAATTATTCTACCCATTTTACAGATGAGAAAACTGAGGTACAAAGAGAGGAAATAACTTGTCCAAAGTCACATGGCTCATAAGCAGCAGAGCTGGGATACAGGCTGTCTGACACCATAATTGAGGCTCTAATAACTACACGACTTTGTGTAAATGTTTGCATACTTGAATGAGGGATTGTGTAGCATACATCTGTAGAAGTGGAATTACTGGGGCAAAGTAACACTTATTGCCAACTTGTCCTTCACTATAGCTGTGCCAAATAATCCCCACCAGCAGTGCCTGAAATCCTGAATTCCTCCTTGCCCCAACTCTTGATGCTCTGAGGGCAGAATATTACTTGAATATACAACCAAAGGATTTTTCAAGTTCTTATCAATTGAGTAACAGAAAAATGATTTTATTTCATGAGAGGAGAGGAACACTACTTTCTTAATAATAAATAAAAAGTTACAGTGAGAATAAAGACTTATCAGTTTCCTAGAGAAAATAAAAACATTCAGTTAGGCTGCTATATTGCAAGACTGAAAAAAATGTCCTAAGCCTGGCGGTGATCACAGCTTTATTTCCTTACCCTCTACCTTGTCAGGGGCACTGTGTTTGAGGGTTTAAGTTTCTTGCCTTCAAGGATTGTTTTCACCTCCTGTGCCATCTTCTGAAGATCTCTGGTTGATACATCACTTCCAGCACTGGGCTCTTCCTATCACTCCCTTTTTATTTTTCATTTATGCTACGTCTTGTTTACAAGTTCCTTTCCAAAGCTTTCCATTTCCCTCTCCAGTGTGCTATTTATATGGAGCTAAATACTTCCACTGACTACCACGGTGAATACTTACATAGTTACTCTTATGTCTTCACTTACAAATGAGGAAAAGGGATACAGTGACTTGCCCAAGATCCCATAGAAATGGGATTCGAACCCAGGCATCGGCCTCTAGGCTCTGCTGCTTGTCATCCTATTGCATCTCCTCTGGAGCAACCAACCTCCTGCTCTGAGCAGCCAACGCCGCATGTGATCCTCCCTCTGTGCAACTGTCCTTCCTGCCCAAGTACTTGGATGAGGAAAGGGAGAGAATGAGTCTCTGCTGAGGGGCTCTTCTGTGTCAGGTGAGGCACAGGGCACTGTTCATCCTAATTTATAGATGGGGGAACTGAGGCTCCCAGAAGGTAAGGTGAGTTTGCAGTCAGTGAGAGGAGCTGAGCCGGGGTTTGAACCAGCTCTGCTGACTTTGGTGTCCCTGCCATTGAATCTGCTCCCAAAGGCATCCCAAGCAGGTATTTCATAATCAGTTCCAGGATCTCACTGACACTCCACAGGGTGTGGCTGCGGGACTGTCCCCAACCCTGGGTTCCCTGCTTGTCCAGCCCCTCCCGGACGCTGGCTCTGTCCAGCTAAGAGGCTGCATCCCTGCCAGTGTCACTGGCATTAGAGCTGCTGACACCACCTTACCACTGCCGGCCCCTGTCCACACAGGCACTCAGAGCCTGGAGGAGATGCCGGCCTTCTAGACTAGGGAGTCGGGTCTGCTGGGCCCAGGAGAGCAGGGCCGCTGCTGGCCCTCTGGCCTCTTCTGGACATACTGGGCTATTCCTCCTCTACCTGACTCCTTTCCTGGGGTCACTGCCTCTTCCTCCGCCGCAGGTCCCCTCTCCTGCTGCGGGGCTCCTGGACTCCCTTGGAGTCCCTCCCCACGCCCTTTCTCAGGGGCTCTGCCTCCTGCGCCCCTCCCCTGGTCACTCCGTCATTTCACCAGCACGGACGCCTCCCTGGGGCTCTCCCACAGGCTGGTGAGACAGAGCATCTGGCCCGGGGACAATCACTCTCCCTGAGCCTCTACCTCACTCCTTACGGCACCCCTTCAGCACTTCCTCTTCCATCCTCCTCCCTGCCTCGGTTTCTCCGTCCTCGGTGCCTTCTCAGTCCTTATAATAACGCTAGGAGGTGGACTCTACGCCCCACATTTTTGACTTAAGGAAGGACGCGGAAGCTCAGAGTGTCTGAGGGACCCGCCCACGTCCCTCCCCCACGCCCTCCTCCCACGTCACTGGCGGCCCTGGGCCCGCGCGCCCTGCGCGGGGAATGAGTTGCTCCGGCCCCGCCCCCACCATGGCCCCGCCCCCAGCCGTGCGGCCCCGCCCCCGCCCCGCCCCGCCCCGGCTCGGGCCGCCGGAGGAGCGGGCGCTGAGGCTCCCGAGCTCGCGGCGGCGGCGGCGGGGATGATGTGGTTCTTTGCCCGGGACCCGGTCCGGGACTTTCCATTCGAGCTCATCCCGGAGCCCCCCGAGAACGGCCCGCCCGGACCCTGGGTCCTGCACCGCGGCCGCAAGAAGGTGAGAGCTGCCCTGCTCCGAAGGCCGCGGCAGACCTCGGTCTCGCCTGGGCAGCGCCGCCGGCGGCGCCGCGTCGCGCCCCGCCTGACGTGGCTGCGGAGCCTCCGGGGGAACGGGCCGGGGAAGGGGTACGACCAGTGTCGACGTGGCGGACGGGAGGATCTAGGGCCCGACAGGCGGACGGAACCGGGGTCACGTGGCTCAACTAAGTCCCCGGGGGCTGACCTGGGGAGAGGTCCGCCAGGAGGCCTTTCCTTAGGCACGTAACAGGTGTGGGGACCTGCGCGAGGTTGGAGTGGTCAGCCCCGGCCCCCCGCAAACCCCCGAGACCTTTCTCCCCCAGGCCACAGGCAGCCCGGTGTCTATCTTTGTGTATGATGTGAAGCCAGGCGCCGAAGAGCAGACCCAGGTGGCCAAAGCTGCCTTCAAGCGCCTCAAAACTCTTCGGCACCCCAACATTCTGGCCTACATCGATGGGCTGGAGGTACTTGTCGCCCCTCAGTTTCCACCCCTCTGCCTCAGCACCCCCAGATTTGACGTCCCCTTATCCGTTCCTCTCCCCCATCATCTCTCTCATTTCCCCTTCCTGTCCTCATTCTGTATCCCCTTCTTCAGACAGACAAATGCCTCCACGTAGTGACAGAGGCTGTCACCCCACTGGGAATGTACCTCAAGGCACGAGTAGAGGCTGGTGGCCTGAAGGAGCTGGAGCTCTCCTGGGGTCTACACCAGATTGTGGTGAGGTGGGGGGTAGTGGTGATGTGGGCAGGGGTGGGGCTTTGGGTGCTGGGGTGTGATGGCTCCTTCTGTCCCCAGAAAGCCCTTAGCTTCCTGGTCAACGACTGCAGCCTCATCCACAACAATGTCTGCATGGCAGCTGTGTTCGTGGACCGTGCTGGCGAGTGGAAGCTTGGGGGCCTGGACTACATGTACTCGGCTCAGGGCAATGGTGGGGGACCCCCCCACAAGGGGATCCCTGAGCTCGAGCAGTATGACCCCCCAGAGTTGGCTGATGGCAGTGGCAGAGCAGTCAGAGAGAAGTGGTGGGTGACTGGGGATAGTATGTCCCAACCAGCCCTGTTCTAGAAGCCCCTGCAGCTAGCTGGCATTCCCCTATCCCCTGCTACCCAACTTGAGTGGGAACCAAGGTCTTCAGGTGGAACCCACTTTTCTGCTCCCAGGATCCTCAGGGAGGTAGAACAAGATAAACATAAACTTTGGAGTTAGGTGGTTCTGAATTTGAAAGTTGACCTGGGGTAGACAACCCTGCTTCTCCGAGCCTTGCTTTCTCTATCTGTTAAATGGGGCTAATGAAACCTGCTTTTGGGGGCTAATGGGAGGATCCGTGGGGGGACACAGCCCAGAGTCTGCCATGTAGTCAGTACCTGGTGCCCAGGGCAGGTTGGAGGCCTGTGCTGGCAGGTGGCAGGGCCTGGAGCAGCTTTGGTTACTGTCTCAGGTCAGCTGATATGTGGCGCTTGGGCTGCCTCATTTGGGAAGTCTTCAACGGGCCCCTACCTCGGGCAGCTGCTCTGCGCAACCCTGGAAAGGTGAGTGTCCAACCCCACTCCAGCCCCTCCCTGTCAGCCAGCCAGCCCTGCCTTGACACTGACCCTTCCCACAGGTCCCCAAATCGCTGGTGCCCCACTACTGTGAGCTGGTTGGAGCCAACCCCAAGGTGCGCCCCAATCCAGCCCGTTTCCTGCAGAACTGCCGGGCGCCTGGTGGCTTCATGAACAACCGCTTTGTGGAGACCAATCTCTTCCTGGAAGAGATTCAGGTGAGTCCCCCACCCGACCCTGGGCTTTGGTCCTGCGTTCCTTACCCCTGCCCCCTCCCCACTTTGCTGGCTCCCGCATATATAGTCCCTTGGAGATAAGCACAGACTGCGGAACCAGGCTCTCTGGGCTCAAACCCCAGCTCCACCTCTTATTTACTGTGTGACTTCCCTTGGCTGAAGCTCAGTCCTACTTCAAAGGAAACCCCTAACTTCACCGGTGCATGCTGAGGATTCAGTAACTTAAAGTGCATAGTTAGAGTGTCTGGCACATAGTAGGTGCTTAGTGACTGCTCATGGTACTCCATTAACTCCGCACGTATATTCTGGCCCAGTCTCTGATGCGTTCCATGCCTGGTGCTGAGCTGCAGTGGGGGCAGCAGGGGAGGGAAAAAGAGTCAGACCCAGATCCTTGCCCTAGCATCTAGCAGGGAGTAGGCAGACCAGGTCCCCACCCCTGGGGACTCACTGGAGGAAGGGGACAGAAACATATAAACGAGGACATGCACGCTCCCTGGGATGGGCCCAACTGCCAAGAAGGAAACTAGCGGGGGGCAAGGGGATTAGGAAGGGGATCCCGCAGGGTGAGCTGAGACCTGAAGGGTGTGCAGGTGGGAGCCAGAGGGACGGTAACTGAGGAAAAGCATTCTAGGCAGAGGGAACAGCAAATGGAAAGATGTGAGGAGGGAGTCCTCGGCTTCGCCTCTCTGAGCCTCTGTATCTATGTAGTGGGCGTACGAGTGGTATCTGCTGGTCCGTAGGGCTGTTGTAGGGAACAGAGGAGGGGGGCTCTGCTCTGACTCCTGCTCTGATATGGTGTGTGGGGGGCACACGGAGAGGTGGCCGAGAGAGGGCCTTTGGGGGATGGGGACCCTGAGCTGCATCTTGAAGAAGCGTTGGAAATGCTGAGCCCTGTTGCCCCTAGGCAGTGTGGGGGCAGCAGTTTTTGTTACACAGAGGTCTCCCCACATGGTGCCTCAGCAAGGCTGCACTTCTTAAAATGTGCCCCATAAGAAATGGGGTGTTTCTGGCCAGTCCGCGGGGGAACGTAGGAGGGCAGTGGCCAGGGGTGCCCTTCCTGTCGTTGGGTGGAGTGGTAGAGACAGCCCAGCTGTCTCTCCATGTGTGACCTTGGCTGTGGTTTGGCCTTTTCCTGGGCCTTGCCTCACCCCCCAACCCCGACCCCTGCTGTCAGAGCACCAACCCTGCCTCCCACGCTGGACTAAGCTGTTCTGGAGCCAACCAGGTCCTCCTCATCCCCAGCCAGAGGCTGCCTCTTCTGGGCTAGGATCAGCTCGGGGGTGAGGAATCAGCAGAGAGTACAGGAATTTTGGAAGCAACACAGGACTGGGTTATATTCACTGCCTGATCACTATTGGCTGGTGACCTTGAGCCTCAGCCTTCTCATTTGTAAAGGGGGGAATGATGGCACCTCCTCACAGGGTGTAGCACTGCAGAGGTACCAGACCACTGAGCCAAACCCTTTCCTGACTGCAGCTTAGCTGTGTGACTTCAGTCAAGCTCCTTGCCCTTTCTGTGCCTCAGCTTCCCTCTTGGAGTAAATGTAGATTATGTTGGCAGCTACCTCATACAGTTGTGGGGAGGATTATTTAACCTGTGGAAAGGTTTTAGTACATAGTCCTGCCTGGCACATACTCTGTCCCGAGGAAATGTGAGTTGGGCTATTAGAGCCTCAGAAGGAGGTCAGGAGGACTACCGAAGACCTTTGACTTGACAGCCTGGCCTGCTCGGGCTCATGGCGGGACCAGGTCTGGGGCAAACTGCACCCAATCTCTGCCTGCCCACAGCCTGCCGTGAGCTCCACCCCACGGGGAGTTGCCAGGGCCCGGGAACGGAGTAAGCCTCTTCACCTCTCTGAGCCTCAGTTTCCTGACTGTGTTGGGCTGATGGCACTCACACCTTGTATTGTTAGGAAGAGTCAAGATGACGCTGATAAAGGGCCCCATCACTCATGTAGCTGTGTTCCTAGTGGCCTGTCAGGTGGCAGTGGATAGCAGGACAGCCACGACTGAGCAGCTGTGTGCCAGGCACTGTGCTGGCAGCCTGTATGTGCACTTGCTGGTTGACTCCTCAGATTCAACCTATGAAGTAGTAGAGTTATTATCCCACTTTACAAGCAGAGGGACTTGCCCAAGGTCACACAACCAATAAATGGAGGAGCTGGGATTTGAACCCAGGCAGTTGGGTTAAGTTCAAGCTTAAGTTCACCTTCAAGCTGAGGGTGACCCCCTGTCCTCGCCCATGGCTGGGAAGGGCCCTGACCAGGCTGATTTCCTCCCTGCATCCTGTCGTTGCTCCCCCAGATCAAAGAGCCAGCTGAGAAGCAAAAGTTCTTCCAAGAACTGAGCAAGAGCCTAGACTCATTCCCTGAAGATTTCTGCCGGCACAAGGTACTGCCCCAGCTGCTGACTGCCTTCGAGTTCGGCAATGCGGGGGCTGTTGTCCTCACGCCCCTCTTCAAGGTGAGTGGGGCCTGTGGGGTGAAGAGACTGGCTGGGTAGGTCTGAATGGTAGAAGGGGTAGAGCCTCCCCTAGGATAGGGCCAGCCCTGCTGGGCGTTCTGGGGAGGGGCAGCCTGGTTTGGGCAGACCCAAGCCCACTGGAGGAAGCGCTTCCTGCCAACATCCCATTGGTTCAGCATGCCAGGGCCACCTGACCAGCTGTCGGGAGGCTGTCCTTTTGGAAGAGGAAACCCTATGCCTCCAAGATTCTTTTTCCAAAGACCCCTTGCTTCAGAGCCTACAGCCCTTCCTCCATTTCCAGAGATGGCCCCCTCGTCTGACGTGTGCACCCTGGTTCCCAGAGCCCAGGAGTCACCTCCCCGCCCCACTTTACATCCTTCCTTTTGACCACTTGGCACTCAGCTCTCTTGGATTCTAGGGGCTAGATCCTCCCCAGCTCTTCCTTAGCCCCCAGCCCACCCTACCTGGGCACCTGCCATTCTCCACTCTGGGAGAACCCTTTCCCCTGAGGGGACTTGCCATGGGCCAGGTGGGGGGGAAAGACAGTAAACGAATCTTGTGGAGCTGGGAACCCTCAGAAATTGCAGGCAGAACTCTGCACACATATATGTGCATGGGGCATATCGGTGCCTAATCTTATATAAGATGGGCCCATAGCTTTCATCAGCCACCTGAGAGAGACCTTGACCCAGAAAGGTTAAGGGCAGAGCTCTCTAATGTGGATAATGGATAGGGGCTGCAGAGGAAATGCCTCACCCCTGATCACCCCATTCATGCTGGGAAATGAACCTGAGCACATTAATGAGCCCAGTGAAGTCACCCACGCCTGTGGGTATAACTGAGCCCCTCTTCCCACGCCTGCTCTCAGGTGGGCAAGTTCCTTTGCGCTGAGGAGTATCAGCAGAAGATCATTCCTGTTGTGGTGAAGATGTTCTCATCTACCGACCGGGCCATGCGCATCCGCCTCCTGCAGCAGGTAGAGGCTGTGGCCAGACCCCATTCACTGACCCCACCCTGGTTGCTGGAACCCCTGCCCAGGTACTGCAGAAACCCCTCCCTGAACATATACACAGGGCTTAAACACCCCTCCAGCACCCTCTGTTCCTGGCTTGCTCCCTCTAGCCCCATAGAGTGGGGATACCCTCTCCTGCCAATCCCAGGGCAGCTGGGAGCATCAGACAGGATGAACTCAAGGGTGGGGACCCCTTGTGAGCCAGGAAGTACCTGTTGGCTCCCATGTGTCATTCTCTCTCCACTGGGGAATGCACCATCCCTCCTCCCAGCACTTGTCTGGGTGGAGTTATACCCCCTTTTATAGAAGAGGCAGTAGAGGAGGCTCTAAGAGAGGGGGCACGACACAAAACCAGAGAACAGGCCCTCTAACTCCCAGTCCCTGGCTCTTCCTGTATCCTCTGCCCTCTCCTTACCGCTCTGGGCCTGAGAAAGGCCAGATGCAAGGTGTGGGGCTCAGGAGACTTGCCTGGCCAGCCTGTGCCTGCCAGGTGGAAAAACCAAGCCGAGAGTGGGCCTATGGCTATGGCTATGGCTATGGTGCAGGGTAGAGGGGCTGACCTTGTTCTCTTGCCCTTGCCTGGGCCACAGATGGAGCAGTTCATCCAATACCTTGATGAGCCAACAGTTAACACCCAGATCTTTCCCCACGTCGTGCATGGCTTCCTGGACACCAACCCTGCCATCCGCGAGCAGACCGTCAAGGTGGGTGTGGCCAGGCCCAGAGTGGCTACCCCTGGTTCTCTAAGGCTTGGAGAGGGCTCATCCCAGGACACAGAGGCCTTGATTTCAACCTGTGGGTCTGAGCAGATTATGGAAAGGCAGGCACCATCTTACATGTGGGTGCAGGCTGTGGGTGCAGCTCAGCAGCTGGTGGGGGAAGCAGGGTGGGTTTGGCTTCACTGGCTGAGTGCCTGTCTGTGCCCAGCCCTGTGCCTTCTGCTAGGATGCAGTATGCACAGGCAGACCAAGCTCCTTGCACCTCATGGGCTTCTTTTCAAGGGGATGAGGAATGGGCTTGGCAGACAGTCAACAGAATTAGAAAATATATATTATATTAGGAAGAGATGGAAAGTGTGAAGAGAAGGGTTTGTAGTTTCAAAAGCAGTGGTCAGTGAAGACATTGGCAAGGAGGGGCCATTTAAGGAAAGGAGGTGAAGGATTGAGCTTCATGGAAGTCTGGAGGAAATGTCTTCCCTGCAGAAGGAACAGCTTGTGCAGAGGTCCTGAGGCTGACATGTGCCTGGAGTGTAGAACTAGCAGCAGGAGGTTTAGCGTGTCTGCAGGGGCATGGTTGTGGGAGGTGGAGTCTGAGGGGTAGTGGTGGGGTTGAGGGCCAGGGCCTTGTAGGGTGTGTCAGGGACCAGATTTTCTGGGAGTGAGACGGAGGTCCTGGGGTATGGAACCGAGCACTGACACGGTCTGGCTTGTTTCAAAAGGATTGGTGTGTTGCTGTGTGGAAAGTTGACTGTCAGAGCAAGGTGGACACTGTTGGGGCTGTTCAGTGGCCCAGGTGAGAGATGACAGTGGCTCAGATCCAAGTGGTGGCAGGTGGAGAGCAGGGACCACATTCCAAAGGTGAATCCAGCAGTATTTGCTGATGGATGGATTTGCAGTAGAGGTGGTTTCTGGTCTGAGCAGCTGGAAGGCTAACTGCCATTTACTGAGAAGACTGGAAGGAACAGGTTTGCAGGAGGAGGCTGGGCTCAGGCATGGCCACGTCTGTGAGATGTGGAGATGGAGATGTCCAGGTGGCCTCTGGTTATGTGTGTGTAAAGTTTAGGGAAGAAGTCCGGGCCGGAGGTGTGCACCTGGGCATTGTCAGCTAACGGGCATTCAAAGCTGTGTAATGGGTGAGATCACCTAGGGTGGGGTGTAGAAGAGAAAAGACCCGAGGAGCAGCTCTGGGGGGTCTGAACAGTAAGACCTCCGCAAAAGGAGGTGGAGAAGGTGCAGCTGACAAGGTCAGAGGACAACTAGGAGAGGGTGGTGTCCTGGAAGACCAGAGTCAGAAGTTTCAAGGAGGAGAGAGAACTCAGGGGTGTCAAAACTGCTGAGGGATCAAGTTGGTTTGGGTGGAGAACCGGCCGTTGGATTTAGCACCATGGAGGTCAGTGGTGACTGTGCCCCAAGCCAATTGGTACAGAGTGTAAGGGGGTATTTTTGTTAAAGTCTGAGTAGAGTGCACGCAAGTGAGCAGAAGAGACACGGGAGACAGGATACAGACAAACTCTGGAGGTTTTTCTGTAAAGGGGACAGAATTGGGGATCCCTTTCCTTGGCATTCTGGATGGGAGGTATGTTTGGGAGGGCTCTGCCAGGTCTCCTCAGTGCCCATGGCTACCACTGGCCTCTGAACCCTCTCAGAAGGTCACTCCTACATGTGGCCCTTTGCTTGCCCTGGCCCACAGTTTCCTCTGTTCCCAATCCTGCAGTCCATGCTGCTCCTAGCCCCGAAGCTGAATGAGGCCAACCTCAATGTGGAGCTGATGAAGCACTTTGCACGGCTGCAGGCCAAGGATGAACAGGGTCCCATCCGCTGCAACACTACTGTCTGTCTGGGAAAAATTGGCTCCTACCTCAGTGCCAGCGTGAGTGCCAGGAGTTCTGTCAGTGTCACAGGGTCATAGCCTCCTCCACAGCCGGGCCTCCTTGTGTGTGGGGGCCATCATCCTTCCTGGAGACCTAGGCCCTGGGTGCCCCCAGTGCCAAGAGGTACAGTGAATCGCACCAGGTCCCAAAGTTAGTAGGTGGTGATATAGGAACTGAACCCAGGCCTGCTTGGCTCCATGGCTTGTCTGCCCCTCAGGGTTTGTAAATGCAGACCCCTGTAAATGCAGCACCCAGTTAACAGGAATGAATGAATCAGTTCAGCAGGGCAGGTGGGAAGAGAGGCACAGGCTCCCCCCGGGGCAGCTGCTGCTCTGCCTCTGTCACCCTGAGGCAACCTGAGCCCAGGGATGTGGGAGAAACCAAGACCCAAGGTTTTAAGTAAATTCTCCCCATTTAAGTTGTTAGTGATTAGCCCACATTTTTCAGATACTGGCGTCCATGGAGGGCCCCTGCTTTGGGACGTAAGGCCTGGCAGTTCTGGGCCCTAGTACTGACTCTCCACTCAGGAGCCCTTTCCCCTGCCCCACCCCAGACCAGACACAGGGTCCTCACTTCCGCCTTCAGCCGGGCCACTAAGGACCCGTTTGCACCATCTCGGGTAGCGGGTGTCCTGGGCTTCGCTGCCACCCACAACCTCTATTCAATGAACGACTGTGCCCACAAGATCCTGCCTCTGCTCTGCAGCCTCACTGTGGATCCTGAGAAATCTGTGCGGGACCAGGTGAGGCACAGCTGGGGCTGGGCCCTAGGGCTGGGACTTGGGGTGTTTGGGCCCTGGTGGCCTGGTGGGCTCCCTGGAATGCAGGAGGCCGCAGCTCTGCCCCCTACTACCCCACAGGCCTTCAAGGCCATTCGAAGCTTCTTGTCCAAACTGGAATCTGTATCAGAGGACCCCACCCAGCTGGCCGAAGTGGGTGAGTGGCCCACATTCATGTCCCCTCTTCCTCCTGCCACATCCTTTACTATCACATGTCATAGTCCCATTACTTCATTGGAGTAATTGAAAACTGGGAGAACCGTAGGGAGCAGACTTGTCACCATATCTCTGCCCACTCCATCTCACAGATAGGAAACACAGGCCTGTGAAGGGCACCACAGTCTTCTCTGTTAAGTCACTGCCCTCCTGACACCCTCCACATGGGAGCCTGACATGCCTACACCTTGTCTCCCTCCTGTCACTGCCCAGAGAAGGATGTCCACGCAGCCTCCAGCCCTGGAATGGGGGGAGCCGCAGCTAGCTGGGCAGGCTGGGCCGTGACTGGGGTCTCCTCACTCACCTCTAAACTGATCCGTGCACACCCCACGGCTGCCCCGGCTGAGACCAACATGCCCCAGAGACCCACGCCCGAGGGTGAGTGACCCATCCTGGCTGCATCAGTGACTGGGAGGGCTTAGGGGTGCTGGCACCCAGGAGCTATTACTGTCTGGCTCCCCCTGGGGGGTTATGGGGACACAGGGGACAAGGTAGGGTCTAGTCCTCTTGTGAGCTTCCTCTCCCTATACCCCCACCCCCAGCAACCTCTGCCCTATTCCAAGACCTTCCTGGAGCCCAGTGTATGGGAACTCAGTGAGCCTCTGCTCCCCAGGACTGCCTGCCCCAGCCCCTCCCCCTGCCCCTGCTGCATCCACAACCTCAGGCCACGGGGAGAAACAAGAGGAGGACAAGGACACAGCAGAGGACAGCATTGCTGCTGACAGATGGGACGATGAAGACTGGGGCAGCTTGGAAGTGAGTGGGGCTGAGCGGGCACCTCCCCTGGGGAAACCCCGCCTCCAGGGTCGCAGGCTGCCATTCAAGAAGCCCATTTGTGGGCTTGGCCGGAGTCAGGCTTGCCCTCATCTGCACAGCATCTCTGGCAAGAAGGTGTCATGGAGCGGTTTTTGTGGGCCAGAGCTGGCATCTGAGTCCGCACTAAATATCAAGGGCCCCTGGGAGCAGGGTCAGAAAGGCCAGGTGGGTGGCAGGTGGGACAGCCCGCAGGTCTTCCTTCCTCTCCTCTGCTACCTGTCCATCTTTCACCAGCCCCAGTGCCCACTGAGCCCTAGTGGTCAGCATGGATAGCCTACCCCCAGCACAGAGCCAGACCCCAGTCCTGCCTGGGCAGTGGGTTCTGGATGGGCTGAGGAAGGCGTGTGGCTGCCCAGAAGGGAAAGGGAGCAGAGCTCAGGGCCCAGTTTCCCATCTGGCTGACAGTAGTCTCTGGCCCCCGAGGCCATGAGAAGGGGTGTGGCACATCTAGATCTTGTTCCCCAGCCTCGTAGAGGAGTGATAGTAACCCAGGTTCAGTATGTCCACATTATAGATAGGAAACAGGGCCTGAGAAGCAAATGAGATGGCAGACAGGGGAAGGGGTAGAGCCCAGGGCTGAGAAGGGGCTGAGGGGTTCCTTGACCTTTTGGGTGGAGGTGGGGGGGGGGGTCTGTGGTGATGCTCACCTTCCTACACTACAGCAGGAAGCAGAGTCTGTGTTGGCGCCACAGGATGACTGGGGAACTGGGGGCCAGGCCAGCCATGCTGGACAGGTGAGCCAGGTGAGCTAGGGCGTGGTATGTATGGGGGTGCGGCTGGCCCCTCCCTCCCCCAAGCTGGCACTACCTCCCCCTCCCACTCTTCCACAGACCAACAACCCAAACCACAAATCCCTGGAGTCAGACTGGAGCAGCTGGGAAGCCGAGGGCTCCTGGGATCAGGGCTGGCAGGAGCCAAGCCCCCCAGAGCCAGTCCCAGAGGGCACACGGCTAGCCAGCGAATATAACTGGGGTGGCCTGGAGCCTAGTGACAAAGGCGACCCCTTTGCTGCCCTGTCAGCGTGTCGGGAGGCTGGTGCACAGGTACTTGGCACCCACCTGGCTGGAGGGTACAGACCTGGGGTGGAACTCATCTGGGAGTCCACCTTCACTCCAGCCACACTTCCCTTTTCAGCAGAGATCAGCCTCCTGGGGCGATGACAACTGGGAGGGCTTGGAGACCGAGAGCCGTAAGTGCTTACCCTGGGCGGGCTGACGGAATAGGGCCACGCACCCTGGGGCAGGTATGGGCTGGGAAGGTGAGACTGGCGTGGCTTGTCCTGAGGACCTCAGCTAACTTATGCTTCCCACTCCCAGGGCAGGCGAAGGCCGAGCTGGCCCGGAAGAAGCGTGAGGAGCGTCGGCGGGAGATGGAAGCCAAACGCGCTGAGAAGAAGGTGGCCAGGGGTCCCATGAAATTGGGAACCCGGAAGCTGGACTGAACTGCTAGTGTGGGTACTTCCTGCCGGAGAGTGGGCCCCACGGATGTATTTATTGTACAAATCATGCGAGCCGGCCGGGCGGCCTGGCACATCACACGTGTACATAATCAGAGCCACAATAAATTTTATTTCACACGCCTGTGCTGGGCTCAGTGTAGCCCCTCCCAGGAGGCTGGGGTCTGGCGCTGCCCTGCGGAGTCCCCGCCCAACACAGACCCACCACAGATGTGAACATCAATTTGCTTCAAAAGCCAAGAGTAATGAGGCACATCTGATTTATCAGTTTCTAGGAGATGCCCTCTAGGAGGAAGGCCAGCAGCGCCCGGGAAGACCCAACTTCCGCCTGTGATCTGGGCGGAGCCGGCATGCGAGCCCTCGGGACACACGGCGCGGGAAGGGGTCTGTCTGTGAGCCCTGGAGGCTCCCTGGGTCCGAGCCCCGGATCGGGGCAGAAACTAGAGGCCGAGTTCGCCCCAAGTGCAGGGCAGAATCCCCTCGGTGATCGCCGAGGTCCGGGCCGAGGGCGATGTCAGCGGCGGCGCTGGGGCACGCAGGCCCCGTGCGGGCGGATGCGCGCAAAACCGGCCTTGCAGACACAGCGGAAGGAACCGCTGGTGTTAACGCAGCGCTCGCTCTTGCACAGAAGCCCGCGCTGGTTCAACTCTCGGCACTCGTCGATGTCTGGAGGTGAGAGCAACAGGTGCGGACTTCGTCAAAGCCGAGCAGCCCCCTTAAGCTCTTAGTTACGCCCCGGTTCCGCTGGGCCCCGCCCCGCCCCTAGCTTTGGTCCCGCCCCCTGCCACGACTGCCCTGTCCACCCCGCGGCCTGCCTCACCGACGCAGCGCGCGCGAGAGGCGTCGAGCTGGAAGCCTCCAGGACACTCGCACACGGCGCCGCCGGGCCGCGGCACGCAGCGGCCGCTCACACAGCGGCATTCGTCCGAATCCTCCTCCGAACTGTCCTCCTCTGAGAAGGCCGGAATACAGACGTCAACACCTCCACCTGCAGATGGCCGCGCAACCCCGCCCCTGTCCCTCCCACTACACTCACCTCGCGGGGGCTTCCCCAGTAGCAGGGGGCTCGCGTCCCAGAAGGAATTGCTCTCACTCTGCGATGTCGGGCACTGGGACCCTGGGAGGGGCGGTGAGCGTCAGCCATGTTGTTACACTCAGTTCCCATTTCTATACCCCCTCCTGGTAAACCCCAACCGGGCCAGCTCACCGGCGCCGCGCGGTGGGCACGGGCGGCACTGGGCTCCCCAACCGCGGCCCTGACGACAGCAGCAGTCGTCGAAGGTGAGAGCCGGGCCGGCCAGGGAGCCCGCGCACATGCCGTCCTCTCCACGCTGACCCCAGCACACGTCCCTCCGCTCCGGGGCACGCTCTGCGGAGGAACACCTGGCGTCAGGGAGGAGCCCGAAACAGGGACGACCCGTCCCCGCTTCAGGGGCCACGTCCCCGGGACTCCACGTAGCTGACTGGGCCGTGCAGTCAGGGCAGGACAGCCCTCGTCCTCACCGGCTGGGTTCTCAGGGAGCTGGCAGTCGCGGCCAGAGGGCCCGGGCAACCAGGGCTGGCGGCACTCGCAGCGGTACGAGCCCGGCAGGTTGACGCAGCGGCCAGGTCGGCAGGCTGCCAGGTCCTGACACTCGTCCACGTCTACGGGCAGCGAGGGGTGGGGGTGGGTGGCGGTCACCGCTTGGCTGGGCTCCCGCCCTCCTTGTTTCCCCAGCCACAGGCCCGGGCCTCACCCATCTCCTCCGGGTTCAGACACTGGCGCTGCGCCGGGCTGTACTCGGCCGGGGGTGTGCAGGCGCAGCGGTAGCCGCCGCGCGTGTTCTCACACACCCCGTTCCGGCAATTGGATTCGTCTAAGCACTCGTCCACGTCTGCGGGACGGAAAAGCGCGAGTGGTAGGAACCGGCCGGGAGTCGGGTGGTTGGGCGTGTCTCCCGGCCGCTTTCCCACGCCACGGGCTGGCTACACTCACCCACGCACTCCAGCAGGTTCCCGTCGTAGTAGAAGCCTTGCTTGCAATAGCACTCGTAGCCAGGCTGTGTATTCACGCACTTGCCCTCCTTGCAGATCTCCGCCCCGAACAATATGCACTCGTCGATGTCTGCGGAGGGACAAGCCGTGGGTGCCCAGTGTCCTCCACCTGCGAAGCCACTCGGGCCCACAGCCTTGGGGGTGTGGGCGGGGCTTGCCGCCGGAGCGCAGCCCACTGGAGTGAGAGACTTTTCCGGACGCCAGTTTTAGAGCGATAGGGGCGGGGCAGACAACGGGGGTGTGGGCGGGGCTTACCCCAGGGCCCGTCGCAGACCAGGCAAGCGCGGGCGGGGTCGGGGCGGCCCAAACTCGGTGGGCGGAGCCGTATCGGGGCTTACCGCGGTGGGCTGGGATGCCGTAGTTGACAATGTTGTTGTCTTGGGTGTAGCCCTTCCCGTCCGGGCAGAGGCTGTGGAACTCAGCTGCGGAGAGAGAACGGCCGTGGGGAAGGAAAGAGGCAAGGCTGCGCGCTTACATGCTGGCCATCGCCTCAGGCCAGAGCTCTAGGCCTCATTTCCCACCTGCCCAGGGAGGCGCCATTTCACCCAGTCCCTTTCCCAATGAAGAAGCAGGTTCTGGGAAGGCAAAGAACCTGCCTGGCCCCTGACCTGAGCTGTAGACTGGGCAAGGATAGATCTCGCAGTGGTCTCCCCAGCCAGCCCCTAGCGAGCAGCAGCATTCCTGCTGGGTGACATTGGTGGCCAGTACACTGTCGCAGAACACTGTGTCATCGAAGTTAAGGTAGCACTCCTTCTTGTGGTGGGGCTGCTCCACCTCTGAGGAGAGGGGAGGGCAGCTCAAGATCCTGCAATCTCTCTTTGTCCACATTCCCCCACACTCCCTGGCTCTCCGCAACCACCTTGTGAGAGCCAACCTCTATCCTCAAAGTGACATTCAGGGCCTTTCTGTGAGGTCTGGCCGCACTGAACTCTCCCAGGAAACGGATTTCCTTCTGTTCCCCAAACACCAGAGGGTGGGACCAGGGTACATCTCAGAACCTCGGCTGCAGCTCTAGGGAGTTGTCTAGACTGAGGGAGTAGGGAGGGCACTCACCCTCACAGCCATGATCGTCCTGGGTGGGTGTGAAGCCCTCATCACAGACACAAATGTAGGAGCCCTGCAGGTTCTTGCAGGCCCCGTGGGGGAGGCATAGACCTAGGTCCTGGCTGCACTCATCTATGTCTGCAGGGAGTGAGGCGAAACAGGAAGAGTAGCTCAGAAGGAAGCCAGCCCTCTTTCCCTGGAGGTGCACCCAAAGGGCCTCACGTAAGTCCAGAACCTGAATTTCCACTTTGATTTCAAAATACAATACAAAGTCCACTCATGTCTGTGCATGTGGACAGATATGTGCACATTCATTGCATTATTTTTCATAAAACTTTCAATGGTTCCCGCTGATATCAGAATGAAGTCCTAATTCTCAGATGGGCATTGAAGACTTTCAGTTTGTAAGTCTCACCATTTTATATTCTAAACCACCAACACCCTCAATTCTGTGTTTTGGGCACAAGTGTCTATTCTCCCCTGAAAACATAACTAGCTTCTTCCAGATCTCTGTGCTTTGCAAATGCCATTCTTTGGTCCTGGAATACCATAATTTTCTCTGCTTAGAGAACCTATTTATGCTTCAAGTTCCAATTCATCTGTCACCTCTCTGTTACAATTATTCACTAGTCCAGACCTCTTTTCACACTCAGCACCCTGAAACCTAAGAATCAATTCACGTGTCAGCTTCACCTAGCTGGGAAACCTGGGTCATTGCTCCATACCTAGTATATAGGACAAGGCCTGGCAAATTGTAGGTACTCAGTAAACTCTTGTTGGATGAAATGCATGTTATGGGTGAGCTGGCGTGTAGTAAGCACTACGTGATTACTGCCACTATTACAGTTACTATTATTTTAGGTGAGAGTGGAAGGCTGAGTAGCTGGTTGGCTGGAAAGTCAGACAGATCAACAATGTGTCTAGGAGATTACTGCTCCTTGCCATTCCTCCTCAGAAGCTCCCAGCCAGTCCCCTCATACCTTGGCACTTCCTGCCGCCTACCAGCCGATGCCCCTGGGGACAGAGACATCGGTAAGAGCCATTGGTGTTGATGCAGTCACCCCCAATGCAGGCTGCAGGGAAGTCACACTCATCAATGTCTGTAAGGCACCAAAGAGGTGGAGAATCTCAGGGGCTGAACACACGCACATAGCCTGAGGCTGCAGACTCCCCTTTGAACCCTGTGACCAACCTACACCCCATGCCCCATCTGGGGTCTGGATGGGGGCTGTTCATAGAAGTGCCTGGCTTGTTTACAGGCAGCCTCTGGACCGGAGGCCTGGCAGTGGAGGTCCTGGGGTCAAAGAACAGGTCGGCCCCCCAACTCTAGGCCTCCTCACCCTTGCAGTGGGTCCGGTCCCTTGACAGATGGTAACCAGAGAGGCACTGACACTGGAAGGAGCCTGGTGTGTTGGTGCAGATGCCATTGTCACACATGTCCCCGGCCTCACACTCATCCACATCTGCAGGGCACGGGGGTGTCAGAGGGCCAGGGTGGGGTGGTCTCAGGCTTCTACCCTTCTCTCACGGCTGCCCATGGCCTGGAGCACTGGAGCTGAGGCCAGTGGAACTTGAGAGAATCACGGGAACCTCACCCTACTCCCACGTGCATATCACACGTGGTAACCAGGCCACGTGCTGCCAGGGACCCTGGGCGTGTCTGATTCCAAACAGCTTGGGTCTCCTCATCCTTCATCCATCCTCCCCAGACAAGAGGTGCCCTCCGCCAGCCTCTCCTGCCCTGCCCTGGGCTTCCTTGCCCCAGCTGCTCCCACTTTGGTTCTCACCCTTTTCTCCTACATGGCTCCCTTCCTTCCCACATAAATGAGCTCCCCCATAGTTTTGTCCTTCTCACAGAATAATTTCTTCTGTTTGTGCAGTAAAGGAACTTGGCTCTCCCCTGAGAGTCTGCTTCTCTGCAGTTCTTTCTGATGGACGCTGATCATGGCCCACACCCCTGCGCCCTTCCAAACCCTGCTCTTCCTCTGAGGTGCACTTGGCCCCTACTCTTGCGTCTACCTTCTCTACTGCTGTCAGCACCC